AAAAGAGTCCTGGTCACACATGAGGTTCAAAAATGTTGTGCAGCAAATATTTACATTAAAACCTGTAAATTAAACTCTCCTGCTCACCAGAGAAACAAACTAATGTGAAGAGGCGGGGCTTTGTTATTTCTGCATTTCCTAACAGGAAGTCAACGGCCATAATGAAAATGTAAATGACTGATGTGGAGATGAGAATAATGACAGTTATTTAAGCCCAACATCTTCTACATAGAGTCTTCAGTGTCTTTAGAGGAATTCTGAAAGCATCAGCACATGAACACTCACCTCTGATTTGTCTGGAGGTAGTGACTGTACTGCTGCTGTACTGGAACAGTCACATTTGACTCTGAAGGCTCCTGTTCAGGTCCACAGAAGTCTGTGCTTAGACACTGTTTCTTACCTTTTGAGTTTTTACTCTTAATAAACACACACAGAAAACAACTTACTAAGGAGTTTTCTCTGCGCATCAGCTGTAACCCAAGCATGTAGTGACTGACAGGACATGGGTCTGTATCATCTGGGGCCTGATGAGACCAGCACTTGTTTTTTTTTTGTTGAAGCTTCTTTTGCCTAAAAATTTTAAATGTAAAAACTGTGATCATACAAAACTGTTTCAGTGCAACAAGCTTTAACAAGTGTTTTTAGATAATTAAATATTTAATTTAATATGAAAATTTAATTTTCTGTTGTAGAAAAATATGGACAATACTTTTATACATATTCATACAATCCACTAGATTTTTATTTATGTCTGGGAGACAGAGTTTGTCTGATATTTATTACAACAATACAACATGAACAATTAATTCCAATATTTCACTATTATGAGAAGGTCGACAGTGACTGAGGTTACTTCTTCTACTTTAGGCGAGTCATTTCCATTCAAGAAATTAAATGAAAAATTGGTTAATATAAAAATGCGTTACCTTCTGTCTCGTTAAATGTCTCCTGTGGCATTCGTCATGATGTTTTCTGAGTCTTGTGAAGCGACGTTGAAGTCTGGCTTTAGTCTCCTCGCTCAGCCTTCTGTTGGCTTTATTTGGTCTGTTTGAAATGTAAAAAGAACTAGATTAATCCATTTTAGTCCATTTGTTTTTTCTCAATTTGCATTCAGTTTGTCTGGAGACACTTTCAAAATACTGTAGATATTAACATGAAAAACGTGCCTAAAATCTCTTCTTTAACAAAACCAACAAATCTGATGCTTTAACGGATCTAAACATCTGTGGAGAAAACTTTGACTTTTGATTTATGAAGTACACTTTCATGGGAGTACTTCAGTACTTTTACTTAAGTAGGTTTTTGCATTTAATACTTTTACTTCAGTATTTTTTTCTCTTGCATCTGAACTTTTACTCAAGTACCGCAGATGTTCAGTGGCTCTTTCAGCTCCGCGTGATTCTTCATCGCGGTGTCAAGGGCGAGCACACTGCACGTGCACGCGCTTTGGAACGAGAGGGACACGCGTGGTGACGGGAGCAGTGTGACGGGAGCAGTGTGACGGGAGCAGTGTGACGGGAGCAGTGTGACGGGAGCTGTGTGACGGGAGCAGTGTGACGGGAGCTGTGTGACGGGAGCAGTGTGACGGGAGCTGTGTGACGGGAGCTGTGTGACGGGAGCTGTGTGACGGGAGCTGTGTGACGGGAGCAGTGTGACGGGAGCAGTGTGACGGGAGCAGTGTGACGGGAGCAGTGTGACGGGAGCAGTGTGACGGGAGCAGTGTGACGGGAGCAGTGTGACGGGAGCAGTGTGACAGGAGCTGTGCGCGGTGTGGAGCGTGAGCGCGCTTTGCAGAGTCCGCGGGTTTGACGCGCCGCGCGCTCCCGTGCGTCTTTGACCCCGTCTGGTTTCTTTAGCTCTTTCACAAATATCTCCGTGAGTTTTAGACCAATTTTCATCAAATAAAAATCATTGAGTAGCTTGAAATCAGCAGAATAAGGCCGCGTGGTCAGTTTATACCAAAGAGTCGGATCTGCAGCTGTGACGTTTGATTCATGTAGGACGCACGCGCCCCGCGCAACGACGAAACAAGATTAAAAAACACGGACACAAACTGAACCGAACACTGTACAGAAACAGACCGAACACTTCACAGACACGATCTACTACACCCACGTGTCCCGTTACGGCCCTTCTTCTTCTGACCTAGAACTTATCATGCTAATCAAGCTAACGCCGCTTTCACTGAAGTAACGCGCTTTAACTGACGATTTTCATCATGACTTTACTCCAACAACACACGACACTTCACATGTGTCAGGGGCATTATGTTGTACAATTATATTCTTACCTCATTTTGTCCATGATCCACACTTTCTCCGTGTAAAATTCACGTGTCGAAGCAGAAAATTGCTGTTCCACCTGAGAAGCCCCGCCCCTCCGCTTCTGCTCCAACCAATCCACCGTGAAAAAACTATCGCGAGATTTTATTATAATAATAATAAATCTAATATCACGAATAGAACATATTTTCTACATTTTAGCCCAATGACTATTGCATTAAGAAAAATAATAAATAAATCTTCTGATGCACTTCTGAGCGGGGGTCGCGGTGGGGACCTGATGCGTCAGGTGAACAACACACTTCATCTTACAGACAAATGATCATGGACTCTTCAGTCTGTAGTCGGGTGGGGTGGGGGGTGGTAGCGGTGGGGACCTCATGTGTCCGGTGAACACACTTCATGCTTCATGCTCGTTCTTCAGTCTGTAGTCGTGGGGGGTGGTAACAGGCAGGTGGGCGGGGTGTCAGCAGGTGGGCGGGGAGGTAGCGGTGGGGACCTCATATGTCAGGTGAACACACACGTCACACACACTTGTTCCAGTAGTGACCACAGGGGGCGCACTCCGAAACACACTTTACACACACACACACTTTTTGTCCGGTGAAAAGTGACCCGTCGGGGCCTGAGTCCTTACGGGTCCAAACTTCACCAGACAGCTTCAAAAAGGCTTTTTTATCATTTGCAATGGTTGTGCCTGTGGGGACTCGAGCTCAGGTCCCGACGGCGCTCGGGGTCCTGACGGGTTTGGTGTGCAATCAGGTCAGAGTCCTCACCAGGATAGAAAAACAAGTGCACACACACACACACACACACACACACACACACACACACACAACACACACACACACACACACACACACACACACACACACGCACACACACATAAACACACACACACAAACACACACACGCACACACATAAACACAAACACACTCGACCTTTACACACACTCGACCTTTACACACACTCGACCTTTACACACATGGTCCCTCTCCTGGTCTGGTCCTGGTCTGGTCCTGGACCTGGATCAGTCCTGGTTCAGTTCGACATCACAGTGACTGAAGTCACGTAAACAGGAAACGGTCGTTATCTGGTTTTTTTTTGTTTTTTTTCATTTAAACACAAAATCGAAAACTGAAAAAACGAATCATTGTCTGTTTTTTCATTTTGGTTTTGGAGACAAATAACGAGGAAAACTGTTGTTTTTTTTGTTTTCTTATTTTTGGTTTTATATTGAAAAACGACTGAACGAACGACACACAGATGAACCTGGTTTGGATCTTTGCTCTAAAACTCAGACAGTAGAATTTGCCGAGTGTCTTTAAAGATTAAGAAACGGTCAAATCAAATGTGAAATCTAAATATTCTGAGATTGTTGTTTTGCTGGTGCGGCCGACCCGGGTTTATGTTTGGACGAGTCGCTTTGGTTTTTACGGCTGAAGTTGGAGCAGGAAAATGAAAACCTGAGGCGGCAGGATTTGAACGTGGCTGAACTTGATGCTGACAGACGAAACCTCGAGTGGATTGGGCGAAGTGAAGGTGATGGTGACTGAAGTGGAGGTGAGGGATCTGTGGGGACGTGAGGAGCAAACCAAGAACTTAGATCAGTGGTGCTCAATACGTCGATCTTGATCTACCAGTCGATCTCCAAGGTCGTGTGGGTAGATCTCCGTGTCTCGTCTCGGACTCGTGTTTGGACTCGGTCTTGTCTCTCACTCGAGGTCTGACACTCGACAAGTGTGATCATATTTCATTCCGGCCGCTGCTGTTGGTAATAAACTTGTAGCGGGTGCAGGAGCGTGTGGTACCTGTTGTAGTACTCGGTGGTAGAAGTGTAGTAGTAGTAGTAGTAGTAGTAGTAGTAGTACTTGTAGCGGGTGCAGGAGCGTGTGGGGCGTCTCAGTGCAGCCTGTGCGCTCATTTGAAACCCGCGGAGACTCTACGGCGCATCACAAACACACACGCTCCCTATGCACGGCTCGTCTGCGACAGCGTGTGCCCTCGTGTACCAGCGTGCATCACAGGGCAGGTTCAACTTCCTAAAACATCCTACCTGTCCACCTGCCTCACGTCAGCACGCCGCCCCTCGCCTTTTCACGCTCTCGCTCCTTCCTGCGTACAGCCAACACAAGCCCCTCCCACAGTGCGGCTGATTAGAAGAACAAGACCAAACGTGAAGCAAAAACCAGTCTAAATTTGTGTTCCAGTGTTGGCACAAAGCAGGTCTACAGCATAGAGCGGATCTACAGAACAGACCTACTGCCACATTTGGCTGAAGTTTGTCTAACAAAAGTGACAAATGCATCTGTGTTTGTCACGATGTGCGTTTGGTTTGGTAAACGTGCAGAGGCTGGTAAATATCACTGCAAAACCAGAAAAGAATGAAACTCCAGTTTGGAACTTTAAAAAACAGGTTTAAAAATCTTCCTTCACTTTTTTCACAGTTTTGTGTAAAGTGTCAGAGGAAGTTCTCTTAAAGAAGAGGTTCTCAAACTGTGGGGAGGGTCCAAAAAAGAGCCACAGAGTGTTTCAGTGCAGTTTGTTTGGTTTTGTATCAGGTCGATCTTTATGACTTGGTCATTTTGTAGCTCACATGATGAAAAAGTGTGAACACCTCTGACTTAGAGACTTAAAGTTTGTTCCTTTGTTTAATGAGATGTTTTCCTCTGTGTTGAGTCTTGAGCAGAGACTCGAGGTTGGTCTGATTCGTGGTCATGTTCGCGTTTCAGGACGTTTTGGCTTCAGCTTTGAGGAGCATCGACAGATCCAAGTATTCTGACGTTAAGGCTGCAGGTCTGAAAGCTTCTGAACCGTTTCCTGAGGCCTGGAGGCAGAGTTTTTGAGGCTAAAAATGTGGTGATTCATTTTAAAATCTGGTGTTTTTCAGCTGGTGTTAAAACGCTGGAGGACTTAAAGGTGATTTGTTTAAGAACTCAGAACTTTTGAACATATTTTTGTTTACAAAATGTTTCAGAAGAAGTGCTTCCTGGACCTCCAGAGGATAATACACAGTAGATCCAACTCAGTGGTGCTTTTTGGGAAGGGAAGTCAGTACAAAGATGCAAAAAACCCAAGGCGCTCACTGGTTCAAAATACAAATAAAAATAATATAATATCCTCTTCCAGGTGGAGCCGCCCTGTTGGTGGGTTTTTGTATTTAATTCACATGATTTGCTCTCAGTTCTGTTTGTCCTGAGGAAAGCCACAGGCTGAAACGCATCGGGACTTTGTAAGTTTGTCCGTTAAGACGTGACGTAAACTAATAAAGGCATTTTATTTTTAACAGTGAGTGCATTGGGTTTTTGCATCTTTATATTTCTGTTTATGTTGGTGGACATGGAGGTGGAAGTGATGCTGCTGCGCTCGTGGACCACTAATATTTGACCCATGAGTCCTGGTTCTGGTTCTGGTTCTGGTTCTGGTTCTGGCGTCCAGGAAACATCTGAGGTTGAGTTTAAAAGCGACGGGTTTTCATGTGATTCTGGAACATTTGCAGTGAGCAAATCTACAGCTGAAGAGAAGAAACTGAATCTGTTCAGACTCAAGTGAAAGACAAAGACAAAATGACAGGACGAGGTGGTGGCAGGTGCAGGTGTAAGGCGGTGGCAGGTGCAGGGCGGTGGCAGGTGCAGGGCGGTGGCAGGTGTAGGGCGGTGGCAGGTGCAGGGCGGTGGCAGGTGCAGGGCGGTGGCAGGTGCAGGCGGTGGCAGGTGGGCGGTGGCAGGTGCAGGGCGGTGCAGGTGGCAGGGGCGGTGGCAGGTGCAGGGCGGTGCAGGGCGGTGCAGGTGTAGGGCGGTGGCAGGTGTAGGGCGGGGCAGGTGGTGGCAGGTGTAGGGCGGTGGCAGGTGCAGGCGGTGGCAGGTGTAGGGCGGTGGCAGGTGTGGCGGTGGCAGGTGCAGGCGGTGGCAGGTGCAGGGCGGTGGCAGTGCAGTATCAAACATGAGCAGCGGAGGCGCCGCAGCCTCCACTCTTCTTCACTTGTTCCTTTAGTCAGAGTGTGTTCTCCTCTGGAGGTTTGGGGCGGGTGCAGTGTGTGCGTCAGTCCCAGTGGGGGCGCCGCAGCCTGATAAAGTCTGTGTGTGTGTCCCTCACAGTCACAGGGTCCCTCTGTGTGTGATGAAAGTTGTGTGGTGTTTTTGCTTCTTGTTTCAGGTTCATGTGTCGGAGCTGAAGTCCTCACAGACCCTCAGATCTTTGCTCCAAAGTCTCTCACTTTTCAATCCCATTTTGTCTTGACCAGAGCAGAGACAGGTGCGCACCTGTCACTCTGGTCACACACGTTTAAGACGACTCTTTTTTTTTTTAAAAGAACCAAATTCTTTTTTGATGCATTTTTCCAAACGCTGAACAAACACGAGCAGAACAATCAAATCTAAAGAGACAGACTTTTGAACGGAACATTCAGACCCAAGAAACGAGACTCAAGTCCAGCACTCACCACCATCTGATCTGTCCAGACTTGGACTTGATTTAATCCTGGTTTAGTCCTGGTTTAGACCTGGTTTAGTCCTGATTTAGTCCTGGTTTAGTCCTGGTTTAGTCCTGGTTTAGTCCTGATTTAGTTCTGGTTTAGTCCTGATTTAGTCCTGGTTTAGTTCTGGTTTAGTCCTGGTTTAGTCCTGATTTAGTTCTGGTTTAGTCCTGATTTAGTCCTGGTTTAGTTCTGGTTTAGTCCTGGTTTAGTCCTGGTTTAGCCCTGATTTAGTCCTGGTTTAGTCCGGGTTCAGTCTGGATTCAAAGCTGCATAAATCTGTTCATTGTGTTTGTGGTTAAATTCCTCCATCACCTGTTGTGCCCTTGAGCAGGACACTTGTGTTCACTGGTGTAAGTTTCAGAGACTTTTTGTGACTCGTGAGTTTGAGTTTTGACTTTGGTCACATCTGTGACTTTAATGTTTTTATTCTGAAGAAAAAGAACAACAAGATTCAACATGATTCACAAGATGTTTGAGAGACCAGAGTGAGACCAGTCCAGTCCAGTCCTGGTCTAGTCCTGGTCTAGTCCTGGTCTAGTCCTGGTCCAGTCCTGGTCCAGTCCTGGTCTAGTCCTGGTCTAGTCCTGGTCTAGTCCTGGTCCTAGTCCTGGTCAGTCCTGGTCCAGTCCTGGTCTAGTCCTGGTCTAGTCCTGGTCTAGTCCTGGTCTAGTCCTGGTCCAGTCCTGGTCTAGTCCTGGTCTAGTCCTGGTTTAGTCTCTGTTCAGTCTTGGTTTGGTCCT